GGCTGGGTTCAAGAACACCCTGTTTGGAAATGCTATATAGCAATGAAGCATTTTTTCTCTTTTTATTTTTCTTGTATGGCTGCATCTCTTTGAAATTTTTGTTTCATATCAGTTATGTCTAGTAATATATTTGCTTGAGATAGTTTGCATTCTATTAAGTGGACTCAATATGAAATTATTTAAAACTGTAAGTATTTGGATTTTCAAGGGCCATAAGTCTTGATTTTGGGGAGACTGCCCCAATTTTGCACAGTGTTATTATTTTCCAGAAAGGTGGGTTTCTGAATGAATAACTTACATCTTCTGGTTTTCCAATAAGAAACAGCATTTCTGGTAATACATGTTTAACATCTTCTAGGTTTTGCAGTACTAAGCGTTGATTAATTATGTTAGAAAAAAAAGAACCATAAGAAGATGTGATGTTAATTTTGACTTCATATAAATACCTTCTTGAACAGAAGGTTCTCTATCTGTGGATTCTGCATTTTTGATTTGGAAACCGTGGTGCACTGAGGTTTTCCTTTGGCAGGCTGGAGCCTGTAAGCAGAGCAGTGTGGGTTCTGCCGGCTGCCTTTATACTCTCTGTTCAGTGGAGCTGGGTCCCAGAGAAAGACAACAGCAGTTAGGTCTGTCAGGAAGAAAGAACACAGCTACCAGCCCCAGACCACTTTGCTTCCGCTGAACAAATAAGATAATCATTGCCCGTTTTGGGGACAGCACTCGTGGTTTGCACAGGACTGTGTGGCAGCGGCTTGCCTGCCGGCCTGCTTGGCAGAGATAAGATGCCCAGACCCACCGCTGCTGTTCAGGGGCCATGGAAGGAGTCGAATTCAGTGCACTTCCCCCGTGGCCCCCTAACTCATTTACATTTCTGGGACTAATGACATTCCCTTCTTCTGTCTGGAGCTGTGCATGGATTCTTTTTTTTTTTTTTTCTTCATTTTAATAGAGTTTTTAAATTAAACTGCATGTTGCTTAAGCCACTCAGAAATGTTTCACTTTTAAAAAAACAAAAGGTAGCTGCTGTGACTATCCTTTTGCCTATCCATACGCCGAGGCCGTGTGGACAGTCCCCCGTCGGCTGTGCTGAGCCCATCTGGAAGTGTTTCTGATTCTAATCAGAATTGGAACCATTTCTGTGCAGATTATAGGTTCATGTTAGCTTTAGTGATGGAGGGATGGAAATAGATGCTTCCTAGTTATTACCATTCCAAGTAAAATAATGAGGCTGCATATTTGCAGTGCGCTGCTGAAGCCAGACGTCACTAGAGTAATTTGGATTAGTGGGAAGTTGGAACATATTGTTTTAAACGCGATTTCAAGAGCATCATCTTTGGAAATCCTTTATAGTGATGAAGTGATTTTTTTCACTTGAATTTCGTTTTTAACTTATGTTGCTGTATCTGTTTGAATTTTTAGTTTCATATCAGTTCTCTCTAATAGTGCAAGTGCTTAGGATATTTGGCCTCCTGTTCAATGGGCCTGGTATTCAGTTATTTCAAGTAATTTTTATTGCTATTTGGAAGACCTGGAAGTGTTTCCAGTGTTCTTGTTTAGGTTATGGAGATGCCACCTCCCAGCTATTCCGTAACATGTGAGAGCCGGGCCATTTCAAGGAAGGGCAGAAGAGAGTCTTTCTATTTTTGAGAATGAGCTATGGATTAGGAAGTGGGGGTTATTCAAACATCTGTCTTTTTGTGCTTTGAAATCTGAATTGTAGGAGCTGTGGCCTCAGAGCTGAGGGGTTTTAGAATCTGGGGTGGGGGCTGCTCAGGCTCCTGGCTTCATTCACGACGGTGGCTTTTACTCAGGAGCCATATCCAACCCAGGGAGCTTTGCTAAGGTGGGGACCTCATGAAAAGCCCCAAGTGCCCGCTGCTGGCCAGGCTTCTCCTGCCCCGTCCCTGTCCCCATCCCCGGGGCCCTCTCGTGTGCTGGTTTGTGGTTTCCGACCTCTGGGAGGCGGCTCGCTTCCAAGCGTGGTGTATGTGAGGATGCAGTTTGTATTAGGTGACTCTTGAAGGGAAAGCAACTTTCAAAAGTAGCCCAGTACAGATGAAAATACTGTATGTTTGAATTTCATCTGTGAAGGATTAGAAATTGTAGCAGAAGTTTGAAGTATGGGTGGGGTTTTCGGGCCGTGGTGCACTTGGTTTCCTTTTGGAGGGCCTTCGAAGGGCAGGGCTACATAGTGCACCGGATTTTAGCAAGGGTGGCTGTCCTAGCAATCTGCTCCCCTTCCCCCTGCCTTCCACCCCGTTCCACTGCACCCCGCTTCAGGGCTCTTCCTTCCAGCTTTCCTTGGACCTCCCCACCCCAGGAAAAGTTAGAGAAAATCTTGTCCAAAGGATTTCTGGGCTGCTTCGACCCTGCTCGTCCCCTTTGCGGTGCTGCTTTCAGTGGAGACAGAGGACGCCCCTCATTCTCTCTGCCGGGAGTCTTAGTGCGTTGAGTCCTGGCTGCCTGCGGGAGCAGCCAAGGTGTGGGGCAGGAGCCTGGCCACACGGCACCCCTGCCCGAGCCCTTCCTGGGCTGATCTGGTCACCCCTGCATGTCCCAGGCCCTGCCATACCACACACTTAGACCACACTCAGCACACACTCAATACCCGCCCTACCACACACACACACACACACACACACACACACACACACACTTGCAAGTGAACTACTCAGTTTATGAAATGACAGAATTCTTTAGTTTCCCCCAAAATTAATACCAAAAGTCCCCATGCCTCCTGCTGTCCTGGCCCAGCACATCCCCTGGTCCCTGAGTCCCCAGCCCCTCGGGTCCTCGCTCCCTCTGCTCAGCGCCTCCTCTTGTTTTCGTCCTCTCTGGCTGTGCCCTGTCGCATCTCTGCTCCGGTAGCTGCCTTCCTGGAAGACGTGGGTCTTCTGTCTGCCAGCGTCTCTCCTGTGGGAAGTGCCGCTCCCTCCCGCCCCTGCCTGCCTGCTTCCCCACGGGTCGCTTTGCTGAGGGCTGACCCTCCCCACCTAGACCGAAAAGGTACAGACCTTGGGTTTGATTATGAAGCTGTTTAATAATAAGTGTGCTTTGGTAAAAGACTCAACCAGTATATACATATTTAGTCAAGTGAAAGGTGAACGCCCCCCCATCTCCCACCCATCCCCACTCCCCTTGCCAGAGGAAGCAGCTGGGGCATTCCAGCACTTTCTGTGTGCCTTTGCATCCATCCGTGGGCTGGCGAGTGTGTCTTCATCTCTAGCTGGCTTGGCGTGTCCACATGTGTGATCTGTACACGCTTAACGTGGCTAACTCGCCACGTCCCCTCAACAGTAGGCCTTTAAGATCTGTCTCTGTCAGTACATGTTGCTCTGCCTCTTTTTTTAAAAAAATGCCTCAGAGTAGTCCAGCATGTAGACTCTGCCATAATTTATTCAACCATTTTCCTATTTATGGGTACTTATGTTGTTTCCAGTTTTTTAAGAGATTACTGCAATGAGAATCCTCATACAGACATCATTTATGTATATGCGAGTCCTCCTGGAAATGGAGTTCTTGGGTAAAAGGATATGTCTATTTAAATTTTTGATAAGAATGCTGAATTGCCTTTCTAAAAGGCTTCTCTGGGACTCCTCCTAAAGAAATACATTTTTTAAAAAGGGAAAACCAGCAAAAAAGTAATTCAGTGCCAACAGCTAAGTAAAGAGAGGGGTACTCCCTCAGGCCGTGCAGTGTGAAGTGCAGCAGCCTGGGGGAGCCACGCACCTGGCAAAGGTTGGCATGGTTTCCTGTGCTGTCCCCGACTTCCCTGCCCACTCCTGTTGGGGTTGGGAGGGACGCCCCAGAGCCGGATGGCCCTCACCAGAGTCAAGAGGGACCTGTTCTGCAGGGCTCCTTCCAGGGGCTGTCTGCACCACATTCTGGGAGGATCCCTGAGCGCCATCCTCCCCACTGGCTGTTTAATTGCATCCATTTTCACATTTAACTCTCTGAATGTCAACTACTATATTTAAAAAAAATTAATAGACTTAATTTTTTTCTAGCACTTTTAGGTTAATGGAAAAATGGAGCAGAGAGTTCAGAGAGGTCTATGCCCCTTCTGCCCATCCCCACAGTTTCCCCATCATTAACATCTTACGTTGGGGTAGTACGTAGTATGTTCGTCACCATTGATGAGCCACCATTGATTGTTGTTAACTGAAGTCCATGGTTTACATTAGAGTTCACTCTTGGTGTTGTACCTTAAATGGCTTTTGCCAAATGTGTAATGACTCAACTACTGTCGCAGCAGGAAGCCCTGGTAGGAGGTGCCAGAGCTTGGAGGCGGAGGCCAGGGTGAGTGGTGGGCGGGAGGAGAGGAGGCAGGGTCTGGAGGCTTCTGGAGCTCAAGCCTGCACCATTTACTGATGGCTGGGAGGTGGGGTGGGGGAGAGAGAGGTGTCAAGGATGACTGGCTGAGTGATGAGTTGTGGTCAGCTGGGACGGGAGGCCATGGGTGGAGCTGGACTTTGTGTAGGGAAAGCTTGGCCCAGCTTAGAGCTGCTGAACTTGAGATGCCCGGTAGATGTGCATCGAAGGTGTTGAGAGACATGTGCCCTAGGGAGCTGTCAGGTTAGAGATGGGTCTTCAACCCCCGGTCTGGTACTAGCTGTCGTGCATGACAAACAGTAGCCTGCCTGATGACAGTGGTGAACTATCTGAATGGTAACAGAAATGCCTTGCAGTTCAGGGGGCCTCAGTGGCCCAGGCTAGAGGGAAGAGAGTGGTATGGGGGCTCCACACCTATTTCTAGTCTTTACTTGTCTGGGGAGCTGTTGCTCACATTTCCTCTAAATTCATATCCCTCAAACTTAGAATACTTCATGAAATGTGCAAAATTTTCTTCCGAGAATTCTTGCACAATTAGAGTCTTCTCCATCATTTCACCTCTCTTTGACCATCTTGAGGAAGCATTTAAGAAGGTTAAAGAGAAGTGTATTTTTAACATAAAACAAAATTATAACATTCTCAAAAGTTGACAAAGTAGAAAAATATACCTGAAATGCTCAAATTCGGCCACATCATCATATCTGGCGTTGAATGCTACAAATATCCTAAGCCCAGGTTGTTCTTCTCCATGCGTGGACTGGCCTGGTATGTCAGGACAAGAATAGAATTCCCCAGGGCTGTCACCCAGCAACCAGTTCCCACAGGGCAAGGCTCAGCAACTGTAGCTTTTCTCCCCGCTGGGCAGATCGGCCTGGAGTGGCCCAGAGGCAGAACTCACCAAGCTGTATTTGCAGGACGAGGGGCTTCCACCTGAACACCACCCTGCACAGGGCCGGCGGGATGAACTTGTCCACATTCCTCTGCCCTAAGCACCGTGTGCACCTCCACGTTCTCTGCTGGGCCTGTGTCTTGCTTCCTTTCTGCTCCTGCCCTGTTCCACTGTTGGAGGCACACGGAGCCTTGGGGTCAAGGCTTTCCCAAGTGCTGTTGACAATTGATCCTGATTCTGTTACCCCAGACACTTGTCTGGGTGGCCCTGTTGCCTTCAGAGCCTGTACAAGCATCCAGGGGGGCCACCATCACACACCCCGTGCTGGTGGAGGCCATGAACACCCATGGTGGGCCATGATCTGGATGTTCTTAGATCATGACTGGGTTCCTAGAACCACTCAAAAGGGATGGGAGTGGCTTAGGCTGGGTGTGCCTCTGGACTTGAGTTTTTGTGGAAGAGAGCCAGTCCCCCTCCTGCTGTCCCTGTGCCAGCCCTGGCGCAGCTCAGCTGTTGCCAGCTGGGTACCTTGACCTGCTGGTCACCATCCATTGTGAGGTGGGCTCCGGTGGTTAGTTGCTAGGAGCAGAGTGCCGGCGTTGGCCTGGGATGCTGGTGCCCACCCCCTTGCCTTCCCACGCTCTTTCCGCAGTTGGGGACTGGGGTGGAGGGCAGCAGCTGGCCCCTGGGAACCATGCTTTACTGGCTGCCGGTTAATCGTGGGGGTTATTTGTGAGTTACTGGAATGTTCTACACTTCCCTGCAGATGTTTTCTCCTGGGTGGGTCTGGAGAGTGGCTGAGCCCAGGGAGGGAGGGCAGGTTACCATGCGTGTGCCCTGCCAGGAGGGTCATCTGCTGGGCACTGCCATACACAGAAGCCGAGTGCCTGAGCCCTGCACACAGTGGGTGGCCTCACCCCTGGGTGTTGAAATGGGGGGCGGGGGGTGGAAAACCACAGACACCCTGGTTCCCAGGCAGCTGCACCTCCGCTCCTGGGCACATTCTCCAGAGGGGGAGCACTGGGGACAACTGCCTGTGTTTTTAGCCACAGCACAGGCTGCAGGTGGCAGCCTGTGGTCCCATGGCGGTTGACGGCAGTTTTGCCCTGTGGTGGTGATGGGAGCCCGTGCTGCGGGGGCCGGTGGGCGGCTCTCTGCATGGTGGGGAAGGCCAGGGCCTTCTCTGGCACAGGATGAGGGACATCTCCCCCAGTTGGGTTTTGAGGAATGAATAGAAGTTTGCCAGGAAGATTCTCGAGGAGCATAAAGGGAATGGCTCAAACATGGGCATGAAGAGGTGAGGCACAGACAGCACAGGGCTTTGGGGTGTGGTAGGGGCAAGGCAGCCATGGGCAGGGCTTCACCAGGACCTCAGTGGCCTTGCACACCGTGGTTTGGAGGTGACGTTCCTGTCCTGCAGTGCTGTGCCTCTGTGCGCCTCATGAGAATCCGGGCTGTCAGTGTGCTCTTGCTCCCACACTGCCAGGGGGGTGGGCACTGTGCCCCACCCTCATGCTTTGGGCTGATGGAGTGGGGGGTGTTTGGACTTAGGAGGCTCCAGATGGGTGGCCTGCTTCTTGGGCAGGAAACGTAGACCAGAGGAAGTCGCAAGACAGAGTGCAGCAGCCGTTGGTGTTAAAGCTCAAGGAACCTCATAAGTCTTGGGTGTCAGCTCCCGAGTTGGACATGGCAGGGAGATGAGGGGGAGAGGGGTGGGGCCCGAGCCACAGAATCTCACCGCTCCCATCATCCTTTGACGTAAGGAAACTGAGGCACAGGTAGTTTACGTCATCTTCCCAGGCTGTGAGTGCACGGGTAGGCTGTGAACCAGGGTGTCTGGGCAGCTCAGTTCTGTGGGGAAGTCCAGGTGGGTAGCTGACACTTGGGTGACGCTGATCTGCAAGGGCGCTGGCTGGGCACCGACGGCCTCCCGCTTCTCAGGGAGAAAACTGTGTCACCTGCTAATCTGATGGCTTCCCTGGGCACCTGCACGTGTGCACACTTGCAGAGAGTGTGTTTAGTGTATTTGGTAGAATCCAACCCCCCACCCCCACACACAATGGTGGCACACACCATTTTAAGATAAATAACCTGCATTACACCAAACTGCGTGTATCTCATGTAGCATTTTGCTACTTGGGAAAAACAAGTTGGGAGCAGAACCTTGATAGAACGCGTCCCATTTCCTATCAGAGGAAGTGAACCCTGAAACATTAATGTTACTGGTTTCCCTTAGCTTCTTCCAAAAGGGTGTGAGAAATACATTCCCGAGAGCTCAGAATGAAGCTCAGGGCCTTAGTGATCTGCACTTCCTGCCCTTTGGGAGTAAATACGAGGGCTCCAGGGTGCTCGAAAACTTGGGAGTCAGGGTCAGTTTGTGACTCTGTTTTTCAAACGTTTGCCTGTGCTGGAGAATCTTGGAGTTCTGAGCCCGTTGCAAGCTGCTTTTGGGGTTACTTGGCAGGGCCGGGAGCTGGGAGCGCCCTTGTTTCTGAGCGCCGCGTCCCGAGGGCGAAGGCCTGCGTCCGTGGCTCAGCGCCCCGTGTGCCGCCTGCTCACGCGTGTTCTCTCCCGCCACCGCGTGCCGCCCGCTCACGCGTGTTCTCTCCCCGCCACCGCGTGCCGCCTGCTCACGCGTGTTCTCTCCCGCCACCTCGTGCCCGCCTGCTCACGCGTGTTCTCTCCCGCCACCGCGTGCCCGCCTGCTCACGCGTGTTCTCTCCCGCCACCTCGTGCCCGCCTGCTCACGCGTGTTCTCTCCCGCCACCGCGTGCCGCCCGCTCACGCGTGTTCTCTCCCCGCCCCCACGTGCCGCCCGGTCACGCGTGTTCTCTCCCGCCACCGCGTGCCGCCCGCTCACGCGTGTTCTCTCGCACCGCCCAATCCTGAGCACGGCCGCGCGAGCGGGCGGCGAGGCCACCGGCGAGGCGCTGTTGCGCGGGGGTCGGCGCCCTGCCTCGCCGGGGCTCCGGGAGTGGGGTGGTTTCCGTCACCAACCGGGCGGGCGTGGGTCTCGGCCGGCGCCTCGCGGGGGCTTGGGAAGAGCCCCGCCTTCCTCTAACCAAAGGGTAAGCCAGCCGTGTGAATTACTTCCCTCGTTTTCTGGTTTTTATTATTATAATATTTTGGTACGATTTGGGCCTAGCTTTTTATTTCCGTTGGCATCATTCTCGGTTGCTTTTGAGGGATTTCAAGAAAGAGAGAGGCTTGTGACCCCAGTTTTCCAAAAAACCAACGTCAAGCCGGCCTCTTCAGCCCTTACCGCCCCCGCGCCGCGCCCCCGCGTGCCGCCCGGTCACGCGTGTTCTCTCCCGCCACCGCGTGCCGCCTGCTCACGCAGGTTGCTGCGCTCCCGCTCCTTGCCTCGGTCTCAGTCTTAGGGGAAAAGGTATCCGGTTTCTCATCGTTAAATGTGACGTCATCTGTACGTTCTTAAAAATTGAGGTAAATTCACATAACATAAAATTAACCATTAAGCATGTTAAAGCGTGTGGTTCAGTAACAGTCAGTGCATTTCCAGGGCTGTGTGACCATCATCTCTCTCTCGTCTCAAGACATCGTCTTCATCCCAGAAGGAAACAGTCATGCCCGTTAAGCAGTCGCTCCCTGTCCCCCCTCGCCCCGGCCTCCGGCAGCCACCAGTCTGCTTTCTGTCTCCAGGGATTTGCCTATTCTGTCAGTTAGAAATCATACAATTTGTGACCTTTTATGTCGGGCTTCTTTGGCCCATCATAAGGATGATCCTTTATGAGGATCATCCATGTATCAGAACTTCATTCCTTTTTCATGGCTGAATACTATTCTGATGTATGGATATACCGCATTTTGTTTATCTATCCCTCAGTGAATAGACATTTGGGTTGTTCCCACCTTTTGGCTATCATGAATAATGCTGCTATGAGCATGTGTGTACAAGCGTTTGAGTATCTGTTTTGAAATCTTTTATGTATGTAGGTGGGAGTGGAATTGCTGGGTCATGTGGAAACTCTATGTTTAACTTTTTGGGGAACAGCCAAACTGTTTTCCATGGCAGCTATACCATTTACATTCCTACCAGCAATGTATGAGGGTTCTCATTTTTCCACATCCTTCCAACACTTTTTAGTTCCTGGTTTGTTTGTTTTATTCTGGCCAGCCTACTGGGTGTGCAGTGGTGTCTTCTTGTGTTCTTTATTGGCATTTCCCTAATAGCTGCAGGTATTTTGTAGATGTTATTGATCAAGTTGAGGACATTTTCCTCTATTCCTAATTTAGTGAGTGATTTTTTTTTTAATCAGAAATGGGTGTTAGATTTTTGTCAGATGCTTTTTCTACATTAATTGTTATGATCATATGATTTTCTTCTCTAGTCTGTTGAGATGGTAGATTTCAACCACTGATTTTTATAATGTTGAACCAACATTGCCACCCTGGAAAAATATATATCACTTGGTTGTAGTATGTAATTCTTTTTATACATCTTGAATTTGATTTGCTAATATTTTGCTGTGGATTTTTAAGTGGTATGTTCATGAGAGATATTTGTCTATAGTTTTCTCTTCTTGTGATTTCTTTGGTTTTGATGTTAGGGTAATTCTGGTTTCATAGAAACCTCTTCCAATTTCTGGAATGGATTGTAGAGAATTGCATCATTTCTTCCTTAAATGTTCAATGGAATTCACTAGTGGAACTTTCTGGGCCCAGGGATTTCTCTTTTGGAAAGTTATTAATTATTGATTCAATTTCTTTAATAGATATAGCTATTAGATTTATTTATTTATCCTTGTTGAGTCCTGGTAGTATGTGATTTTTAAAGAATTGGTCTATTTTATCTCCAATTACCAATTATCATCCAATTACCAAATTTGGGGGGATAGAGCTTTTTGTTGTATTTTTTTATTATCCTTTTAATGTCCATGGAATCAATATTGATGACTCCTATTTCATTTCTAGTATTGGTAATTTGTGTCTTCTCTCCTTTTTCTTGGTTGGCCTGGTCTAAAAAAGAGACTTTTGAGTTTGTTGATTTTCTCTATTATTTTCCTATTTTCAATTTCTTGATTTCTGCTCTGATTTTTATTATTTTAATTCTGTTTTGCTTTAGGCTTAAATTTTTCTTCTTTATCTTGTTAAGCTTAAGCTTCTAATGTAGAAGCTTAGGTTATTGATTTTAGGTTTGTTTTTTCTTCCTAATATATGGATTTAATGCTGTAAATTTCCCTGTAACCATTGCTTTGGTTATATTCTACAAATTTTGATAAGTGGTATTTTAATTTAATTTAAAAAACTTAAAAAATGTTTCTTGATAACTTTCTTTTTGACTCATGTGTTATTTAGAGTTGTGTTGTTTAATTTCCAAATAGTTGGGATTTTCCATCTATCTTCCTGTTACTGATTTTTAGTCTAATTCCATGATGGGCTGAGAATATATTTCTGTGATTTCTATTTTTTAAAAACTTATTAAGGTGTGCTTTGTGGCCCAGAATGTAAAATATTTGAATGAGTGTTCCATGCAAACTTGAGAAGAATTGTTGTTGGATGGAATATTCTATAAACATCAATTAGATTGAATTGATTGATAATGTTATTGAAGTGAACTATCCTTGTTGATTTTCTGCTTCCTTGTTCTACTACTTACCGACAGGGAGATGTTGAAGTCTCCGATTATAATAGAGGATTTGCCAATCCCTTTTTTCAATTCTACCAGATTTTACATCAAATATTTTAATGCTCCTTTGTTAGGTGCATAGCCTCCTAGAACTGTGATGTTCTCTTAGAAAGTTGACTTCTTTCTTATAATGTAATGCCCTTTCTCTCCCTGGTAATTTTCCTTGAATTCTGCTTTTTCTGAAATTAACATCAGTACTACAACTTTTGATTAGCGTTAGTATGGTATATTTTTCTCCATCTTTTTACTTTTAACTTGCCAGTGTTTCTGTAAAGTGGTTTCCTTTGATGGAATATTGGGTCTTGTGTTTTTATCCACTCTGAAAACCTATCTTTTAACTGATGTACTTAGGCCATCTACATTTAAAATGATTATTGATATTGATATAAAATGATTATTGATAATTTTACTTAGATAATTATCAAACTTTTTATTAACTGTCTTGTATTCTTGTTACAGACTTCTTTTTTCTCCCTCTAGTTTCAATTGACCATTTTATATGATTTCATTATATCTCCTCTTAGCTTATCATTAATACTTCTTTTAAAGTATTTTTAGTACCTTAGAATTTACAGTATACATTTGAAAATAAGCCCACCTTTGAATAACACTATATCTCTGCACATTTGGTGTGAATA